GCACATGAGAATTGAGAGTTAAACACTATCTTGAGAGAGTTTTATCATTGTTGGATCATTCTATAATTTGACTTGTTATCTTATTTGCTTTAAATGTTATAAATGTGTTCATAGATTGTTTGTGACCTTGATATTTGAAATGTTTGTACTATCTTTTATCAATACATTTGTGAATCATTGAGAAATGTTGAAAAATTTGTTCATACTTTCAATAAGTTTTGCTTAATAATTGAGTTGTGCCCAAGAGTGCAAAAGATTAAGTGTTTAGGGAGTATTTGATGGAGCATATTTGATACATCATTTTATGTATTATATTGAGTTTATTTGTCTTTTATGAGTTTCTTAAATTGGTATTTTGGTTGTGATTCATTTTAGTGGGTTTTATTGATTTTAATTTTAAATTGAGTTCATTCTGGTAACTTTCCTCACTTTGACAAGTTATCTTGCGCAAGTCATATCTTGAGCTATGGAACTCAAAATTTGACTTTCTTGGTGTCCCTAGAAAGTTAAGACAGAGATTTACAAAAGCGTCTTACAATCCAAAGCAAATTCAGACGTTTTAATTCCCCCCAAATTCATTTGAAGTTTTCACTTCTACACTTGAACAAGAATTCTCATTAGGAACAAAACTTAGAAGAAGTTTAGACATATACTTAGTAGGCCAAGCTTGTAATTAGATGGATTTAGGCCAATAACATGGGTGTCTATAAATAAGTGCTAGTAACTTGTGTCATAGATATAATCCTCATCTTTTAGATTTTTGACTTGTTTCTCTTGCAAGTTTCTCTATATTCTCTCCCTCTTTATCCCGCATGTCATAACGCATAAATATTACAAAACTGAATAACCTTGATATGATAATTGAACTCAAAATCCACACAAGTAGAGAGGACCACATTGTTAACATAAACTAGACTTAAAAGAATTAACAAAATTACATAGAAATTAAAATTAAAATTCTCAAATTAAATCCTAACTAGTCATAATTACACCTCGAAGTCACATATCCTATCAGAGCACAACTCATCATTGAGGACTAGATCTCATCACCAACACCCTCAATATCATGCTGATGATCACTTGTAGTAAACACAAGAAATAAAAGAAAAATGAGTGAAAAACATCTTATTCTGGCTCACAGTGTAAGAATACAAATCAAATAACCAAACACAAATAAGACATACAACAAAATATAACATACACAAATAAACAATACCATCACAGTTATTTAGTCATAGCATAATAAACAAAAAACAAATACATTATGATGCATTATGCAATGGGTACAAACTACATATTATCATGTATGTGGACCTAGTAAAAACATTACACTTATGTATTTCTGCTAGCAATACACGTAGAGTAGTCTAAGAGTCCATGCTCAGTCACATCCTTTACGCACTCTCATTAAGAGAACATACTACCAAGGCCTGATCGAGATAACTAAGTTGTGCAAGATACATTATGCTCATAAAGGCAAGATTGAAACTTCCAAACCAAGTTATCCCCAAGGTTAGTTCCCAAGGTTTTACACAATAGATTTTCCTTGATGGTGTATTCCATATTGTACCCCAGAAAAAACACTTTTATGTAAATGATGCATGCCAAACAAACTCAATGCATTACATTCACAGGGCTCCATAGTTTCACATTTAACATATTCCTCATATCACATTACGTTCATACATTCATTCATAGATCTCAATTCACATCCACATCAACATCACAATGCAAGAATTACAACATGGAATTTAACATAAGAACAACAAGAGATTCACAACGCCTAACGACACACATGCTGCGCCCAGGGGCACACGTCCACGCTCAATGTGATACCTCTACCAGACCACATTGGTCTCTGTCTAGCCTGCGCTCAATGTGACTAAGCTCACACTCGGAGAAAACACCATTGAGAGCTTTCTAAAGTGTTCAAGCTCAACGTGAGTCAGCTTATTATGTCTGGCAAAAGCGTCACAAGAAACCCTTAGAGCTTTCACACTCAACGAGTTTCATCCCATGCTTGACATGAGAGAATTTAAGAGCAAACTTTGCTCTCAATCTCGAGAACATTCGATGTGTCTCAAGTGGCAGCCAATGCTATATCAGAAACAACACGAACAACAAGAAAACACATAAATACAAATCACACCAATTCACCAAAACACATAATTCAATCATTAAACATGTTCCATAACATACTATTAACATTTCATATTACTCAATATATACATATGATCAATATCTTTGCACAACTATCACAATAAGTTTCCTTAGGATTTTCCATGGAAACCCATAAGGACCTTAGAGCAAGGTTTCTCACTCCTCCTTTACCTTATTGGGCAGAAAAAAATGGGTGATCGGCTTTAGGATGGTTCCTTTCTTGCTCTTATTCTCTAAGCTATGAGCATAAAAAAGAAGAGCACATACGTAAAATAGAAAATGCATAAAAACTGATCAATCAAAACTCCTCTTTTAAACATTTAACCTTCCCTTAACTCTCTAATAGTTAAAATACTTAACTTTAATTACTAATTCTCTTCCCTTTAAATTAATTAAATAAAATATTAAAATAAAACCTTTAACTAAAACATCTTATGTTATAATTCAAAGCATATTAAATAATTAAAATAAATATTAATCAATTCTTATTAATTAAAAATATCAAAATTAATTAAATACTTATATTATATTTAATAAAAATCAAGTTATTATAATGTAAGACATATTATATAATTATTATCTTCACAAAACCTTTCACAATTTAATAGAACACATTTAATA